CAGCAGGATGATTCATGTGCATGCAGTGTACTTGCTATCTGTGGCATTGGTTCCTCAAGTTTAAAAAGAAACTTGTTAAAACAGTAAATTCAGAGTTATCGCTGAACCTCTCTCCTTAATCTGCCCTAAAGAGATGGTAGGATGAAACCTGTATTATTTTTTTTGTTGAGATTTTTTTTTTCAATCTTTCTTTCACAACTGTTTTACTTTCTTTAGAATCTATTTTTGTATTTAATTTCCTATGGAGGAAGAAAAAAAACTTTCATGGAAGGTTTTGGTATTTGGGGTGGCCTGATAGCCATTTCTGTATGCTGGATAAAACATGGGCTTGCCTTCATGTCTGTGTAAGAACTAGATGAATCTTGCCCTCCTTCACTGGATCCTGTAAGCCTTACTTACACCGGAACTTGGAGAACATGTCATCACAATGCTCACTAACTTGATGGTGTGATTACAGAGGATGAGTAGTAGCATGCTTAATAACCAACCGGTCTTCAGGTATAGGTAAAGAAAATACTCTCTGTGGTGCGTGGATCAAATTCATGGGAAGGGGAGGAAGAGAAGGTTGGAGGATGAAGGAGTAGGAATTGCGGTGGAAAAGAGGACATCACATTAATGTTTTCACTTCAGAAGGACCAGTTCATCTTGCTGTAGAGAAAGTGGAAAAGTGAAGAGTTGATCCTTGTCTCTGTACTTGGGCAGACCTCTTTCAACCTTCACAAAGAGTTTTTCCTGATCCCTGGTGGTACTCTGATCGCAAGCTCTGGTAGCATTATCTGCTCTCAGCAACGAGATGGTCCTCAGAAGAAGAGCTGCTGTGCTGCACACAGTACAGTGTGGCAAATGCTTTACCACTGATGTTTCCTGTTATAGGAAGGGCACTGTCCCTCTGGTACTGCCAAGCATATGTTCGTTCAATGTTTGTAGACCAAGGTCCTGCTTCCCCTTCCCCTACAGCTCTTCTGCTTCAGAGAAAGCACACTCCTTTCCACAGGGGCTTTAGTTAAGCAAGAAGTTCCCTGGTTCTTCAGTAGCTGTTTGCATTAATACCCTGAGGGGGAGTTTGAGTCCTGGTGCTTTAGGCTGGTTTCTGGGAGTTGATAAAGATGAGATTTTTTTTTTTTTTTTCCCAGAGTAACTTGACTTAACAGCCACCAGTGTGGGCTATAGGGAAGTGCAGGAGCTGGAGGAGGAGAGTGCAGTGCTGCACCTATAGACAAGGGGAGCGTCTCCCTAGACGAGGCAAGGAACAGGCTATAGGAAAAATGTATTTGCTGGAGGGACATAGTAGACGGGCAGCAGAGAGAAGAAAAATACTGTCTACTCTCATACTGGCAGGCAGCAGGGAAGGGGGCTTTTCTGGGATTTTTGTATTCACAGCTCTCCATAGCAGGTGGTTGAGACCATACTGAGGCAGAAGAAATTGTAACTTTTCGTAGGAAATCATCTGTGGGAGGAGAGAGATGAAAAGGGAATACCAGTGCACATGTCCCTACCTTTTTTGGGGAGGGAGGAGAGGGGGATAACCATCCAAATAGGTTATGTCCTGTGGGTGAACAGAGCTGATGTCTTCCATTTAGCTTGCTGTGAACAGATGGTGAAAACTAAGATGTGATGATCCTGCTGCATTGTTTGTCCGTTACTTTTCCTGGCTTTTTGTTTGTTTGTTTGGTTGGTTTTTTTCCTTCTCTCATTCCTTCTGTTTTCTCCTTCTTGCGACAGGGCTATTCCCTTAGGGTTGTAGAGCCCACCTTGTCGCTGACACACACCACAGCGTTTCACTTGCTTGCACTGTGTTTTTCATGCACGTTGAGGCTGCACTCTCTTTTTCTCTCTCTTTCTTGCGTCATCACAGTTGTATTTGGCTGCCATGGACAGTAGCAGCCATATGAGCTGGCAGCTTAAGCCCTCGGACAGTGCACGGACATACTGGTAACAGCGCCCGCAAATGGAACAGGTACTGGAAAAAAGGTCCTTCTTGCTCAACCCCTTCTCCACTCCCAACCGCTCCCTTCATCCCTGCACTGTTTATCCCAGGCCAGTGCCTTTTATTTCTTCACATTCCTTCCCTCTGCACCTCCCACCCCATTCCCTCCTGCCAAGGGTTGAAATTAAAATCAGTTTTGCTCTGGTGCAGACTCAAGGAGCAGTATCAACCTTGCAAAGGCTTCTGGTGCACGTTGTGAGGGTTATAGGCGCCCATGCCTCACAAAAGCTAACTCACAGCAGCTTCAACTCGGAGTCCACACTTGAGAACAGCTTGAACACTTAGTACTGAGTGCTGCTCGAATGTAGAACTAACCTTGCCTTCCAAATGCAGAATTTAAGTTCTCCTATCACAAGAAACCATTTTCTAGAAGTAAAGAGAACCAATCTAGCAGCTTTTCAGTCGGGACTGGTTGTCTTAATTCAGCTTTTGGCTTCCCTTGAGTCCTACTGCTGTTCTGTTTGTCTTGATTGGTCATAACAGCATGTGCCTGAAACCACTGATACTTACCTGCCACAAGCTTTAAGCACCTCGGTATGATTTTTAATTTCTTGAAAGATCCTAGCTGGTAATGATGGCCTGTCCTGAAGAGTTACTTCATTGCTTGTTAGATCTGTGTGCAGCTTCTCCTTTTATCCTTGCATTTAAAGTCAGAAAGGAGCAAGTTTAAAAAAAACTTCCCTAAGGGTCCAGACATAAGCACTAAGCTCTGTTTCATTCTGTTTCAAAACCTTTTATTACTGTTTTGTTTGTTCTGTGTGTGTCCAAATCATCCCATCCATGTCCCACAGGCTCTGTGAACAGGGCCCTCCTAGTACCATTTCACGGTCTGAATTCCTGGTGGGCTGTAGTTGCTGATGTTCTCCAAGATAGCCAGTGTTTCTTCCCTCGCAGTCCATGACAAAGCCACGTGCCTACAGAAAGAGTAGGTGGTCTTTTAGTAGTTTTTTAGCTTGGTTGAATATAGGGTATAATTAGAGCTACCTGGTATGAAGGACAGTGCTCCTTCAAGGGAACTACTGTCACATGGAAGGTGTTGTTGCAGCTGGAACAGAGGGCCCCTTGCTTTTGGCTCATGCAATCAATGACCTGTATCTTACATTCTGTTCCCAGAAATACATGTCCATAAAGCTGCTGTTCCTTCTTTTCTGCCGTTCTTGTTGGGACTTTTGTCAGCCTTGCATTGGATTCCTTTCTGTCATGTTGCTGCTTGGTTCTGCATTCTTGCTGCCTCTTGCTGTTTGTCTGCCTGCTGTGTGACATGCTGGGAAGGGTGCTGTCTGAACCGGGTGTCTTGATGCCCTCTGCCATGGTGCATGAATGCAAACAAACTTGTCTTGAAGCGTGGTGCTACCACTCTTGAAAGGGTCACAACTTTCTTCAGTCTTAAGTCTTGCAAAGACCGCTCTCGGGCGTCAGCTTATGGTGGTTTTTCTGCTTTTGGTTCCTGCAGGTGGTATTGTAGCAATGTTAGATGGGTCTATTCCATGAAATAAAATATTGCTTGTGAGGGGGGGAAATTCTAGTGTCTTCATTCTGGACTTGAAATCTCTGGGCTGAAACATGACCTGATCTCAGTCTGCTCTGTCTTCTGTTTACCTAAGGTCACACCCAGAGTTTAATGTGGCTGTCTGCAGAAAAAGGCATTGCATTCTTTCCAAGACTTTAAAAACAAACAAAACAAACAGAAGCTCTGTTCTTTTGACTTGGAAAACTTAAATCCCTTTGAATTCAGAACCCACTGGCTGGAATTGGCTGTTTCCCTGCATCTTGTACCTCCCATCCATAATGATACCAAACCCTGTGTGTTTACTGTGCTCTAGCTATTTGAGAGGTGAATCAACCTTTAAGAACTTGAATCCAGAAGCTTTGGTCTTTACTGGATTACCTGAATAGCTCTGGCAGGAAATCAAAGTCAGGGTAGCTGAAGAGAGATACATGTGGGGTTTTTTAACCACAAACAGTAAATGGTTTATACTTGGAGTCATGGTTTCACATGTGAAACCATGTGAAGTGATCTTCCAGCATGGCTCAGTTAGCTGTGAAGTACTTATGGTCTGCACAGTTCACAGGAGTTGGTAGAATTTATGGTCTCTAAAGTTAAGTGATTATTCCCATTAATTTTTTTTTTTTTGCAACCAATGATTACTTTGTACACAGGCTATATGTGTTAAGCACCTAACTAGTATGTGCTGGCAAACCATACCTATGAAAGTTTATACCCTCAATAAGGCTGAATGTGAAGGAGAGACTTTTTTTTTCTTTGAAGAAATAAAAAAATAAACTTGTGTGCAATCAGCTATGTTTGTCCTAGCTGACTGGTAAGTGACTGAGAGGTGTGCTGTGTTGAATAGCACAAGCCACCAGGAGAAACGGTAACACGAAGTCTTTTAGATACTCTTTTTAGGGTAGCTGACAGTGTGGTGAAGGTATGGGTTGAAACTTGTCCTCCATGCTGTTTTTGAAAGGGTAAATGAGGGTGTATAGGCACATGAGTACTTCCAGTGGGAGTACTGGAAGAATGACTGCATTGTGCATGTTCTTTAACCTTCTATGAAAGCTCCTCTTTAAAGGAAACTAAATGCAACTGTATATCTTATAGCTGTGTCAGGCACTGTATGCCGGTTGTCTCAGAGTAGAGTCCAAGACCTCCTTAGCTCTGAATTGTGCTCAGGCTTTAAGTCTTTAGAATTACTTTTTAAAGGAGCTAAAGACTTAGTCATTTTAACTATGGATAATGTAGTTTGGTTTCATATCCATGTGACTGGCAAGTGTCTGCTGATACGTCTTCATCTGCTGGCCTGTCCAGATGTTGGGATCTGTGTATTCCACAGCATCTTTCCTCTGCTTCCCAGCAGAGGATGCACTGAAGGAGTTGGATGAGGGACCACTGTCAACAGCATGCGGAGCAAATCATTCGTACATGGAGTCTAATGCAGTGACTGAAGATCCAGTGCACGCTGACAGAGCTGTGCTGGTTATGAGAGGTGCGCAGGGAAGCGTTAGCTCTCCACTTCCAGGTTTCAGTCATACTTATCAAGGTCATTAAAAATACACTTTAACAGAAGGAGTAACTTGTTCAAACTGTAATGGGAAAAGGTCCAAGGTGCAAAAATCCTGAGTTAAGGAGAGAACATCAGCCCTAACTCTGACTACTCTGAGTCTTGATTTGTTCCTTGTGGTGGATTGCAGGTAGGTTTGAATGTAAAATGCCTTCCGCTTGACTGTCCAAATCTCGTGTTCCTGATTACTTTGTTTTAGTGACACTTAAACAACTGTGGGGTGTTTTCTTGGTGGAGGAAGGAGTGAATTCTTTTTGACTTCTCCCTCCATGATGGGTGTACTTTGTACATCCTTGAAATGCAGTTCATCAAGTGGCCCTTCTTGATTTTTAATGCTCTAAAGAAAGTTGATGTTGCATGTTGTGTGCTGAACCTATATTGACTTGTCCAGGAAGATGCACAATAACCTTCCATGATGTGAGATTTTTTTCTATATACTTCTTACAAAACCTTAGCACCTGGAAGTTATCTGTTCATACTCATCTCCTATCACATGTCACCATACAGAATACAAATGGAAAATGAGCAATCACGTGCATTTTTCCTTTTAAGACCCTCTTTCTTAGCATGATGTTTGGCTGGTAGTTTCAGCATTGTACTATCTGAAATGTGCCCTACATACTCTGTGAGAAAGTTCTTTGATTTCTAAGCCTCTCTGAGCCTGTTGGGTTAGTCTCATATGTTTTAATAATGCCCTAAACCTTATTTCTGAAACAGTAATCACATTTAATAAACTGTATAGAATATAGTTCTTAAACTGGCTCAGCTTGATATTTTCTACCTTTTTCTTTCTCACTGACAAAAAATACATCTTAAAAAAAGAAAGAACAGATGTACCCTTTGTCTTCTAAATATAGATGCCATTTCTGGGCCAGAGTTTTATATTAAGATCAATGTTCTGCAGAAAGTTTTCCAATTATGGAAGACACTAAAAGATGAGTGGGCAAATAAGCCACAGGTGTCTTCATCTTGTGCTGATGGGGTAAGCTCTGCCAAAGGAGCAGATTCTCTCTTCTATTGTGCAGAGGTTCAGCCTGGGTCAGTCTTTGAAGGAAAACTGATAAAATACTGTTAATTCTCTGAAAACCCCTTTGGACAGCTGAGCTTTTGAGAGCCTAAAGATGTCTCATAATGTTCTTTCCCAGTGGGCAAGATAAATCGTACCTCCTGGTGTGGAACTGCCTTTCAGTCTCTTTGGCAGCTTAACCAGCTATTTTATGTGGTTCAGTTTTAAAGGTGATAAAAAGTCAGTATGCTGGAGAGCACTCTTGGGAAGTAAGATGTGGGTATTATAGAATTATTCAAGCTCCAGCTGGTATAAAAAGAGGAATAAAATATCTGTCCTCATTGCTTGGTTGTTAGTATCATGGTAGCAGAATCCCAGTAGCAGTAATGTGGTCATGATGAAGGCATTGAACACATTGGTATAAAGAGGTAAATTTTTTTGTTCTTACTGCTGGGTATTATTTACATGCTTTTCAGCTTGTTATTCAAAGCTGAAGGCATATGTTACCTCCGTAGCTTCTGGGAGCTGTTTTGGATTACCTTGTTTAGAATAAAAAAGAAAATAAGAAAAAACAACCCTCCCAAACCAAAACAGCCTCGCATCTTTCTGACTTTCTCTTCTCACCTCCAAGCTGGAGTCTTATCCACTGCTGCGTGGTACGCAGGTTCGATCCCACGCCACAGTGGATTACCACCCATCTGATAACTGCTAGCTAATATCATCTTGTTGGATGACAGCCTGTTTCCAGCCTGACAGGGTCTGTTCTTTCTTGGGCGTAAATTGTTCAGAGATTCATTCTTCCACACTTCTTTTTCAAACTGCCCATCTGTGATGCTTGCAGTCTTCTGATGCCCTCACTGCCGTAAAATGCAATGTAAAAATGCAGCATACACCCATTTTCTTTTCAACCTCCTTTTCTGGCATGGTTCAGAGCAACAACATGACTAAGAGAGGATGAAGGTGTGAGGTGGGTTTTTACATCTGCATCATTTCCATTTCCCTCTCTTCTCCCAAGCGAAGTACGGCATATTTCAACTCAATGACTATTGGATTTCCCTCTCTGTAGAGAGGTTGGATAAATCATTAGCCCCTCTGCACTGACCTGGCCAGCATCTTTGCAGCAGGCTGATGGTATGTTACTCAGACTTGACAATGCAGTGGCTTGTGAAACTTTCCTTGTCAGACCAAACCAGCAGCAGCTCCTTGATACGCTTGCTGTAAATACAGACCATTTTATGCTGGGAGGTGGTCGTAATCTGTGGTTCCGTGTTTACATTAGTCATTCTGACTTACTTTTCTGTTCTGTTTGTGTTTGTTTTTTTTTTTTTGTCTTGTCTTCCTCTAGTACACCTCCAGCATGAGAGCCAAATACCTCGCCACCAACCAACCTCGTCCAGATGCTGGCAGTGTGCATTAAAGTGAAAAAGCAAAAGCAAAAAAACAAAACCCACACGTGCAGTCAGACTAAACAATGTGCCAACTGCTGTGCCCCTGTGCTGTCCTCGTAGAACAATCCTGCTGTTCTGCCCAAAATCCAGTGCAGCTCCTTCTGTTTCTCCAGTCCAGACCACCCCTCCAACCTGGTACCTGCCCACTGGAGTGGAAGCCCTTTTTGAATTTAAGCCTTCACCTTGTTGTACCTGATGTGCGAGAGAGAGCAAGCACGTGCAGGCAAGCAACTGAGAGCACCCAGGCAAGAAACGGGGTCCACCTGCCTGGGGCCAACTTTATCAGAGTAGCTTAACAGAAAAAGTTGGTGAATATCTTCTGCCCCCTTTTTTTCCCCTTCTGTTTCCCAGAGGGACTTGGTAAAAGATGGTGGTAGATCATCTTCACTTCTGCAGTGGGATCAGCAGTCTGTCAAACAATGAAGAAGCAGAGGCTCGGTGCCTGTGACTAGCGTACAACGAGGGAAAGCTGAGTTAATGCACGATACAGCATTTTGGGAGTCCTCTGGTCCAGTGCCCTGTGTGAGGGAGGAGGGAAACCCCTGCCTCATGGTGTCACTGTATATCCACTGTAATTTGGGAGCCTAGGGCTCTTTTAGAGCAAACCATTCCACTACCCCGGTTAACTTTTTTTTTTTTTAAATCCATTAAGAAAATCCCTTTTTCTTTCCCACTATATCTAGTATGTGAATTCTTGAGGAGGAGCAGGGAGTCCCAGCACCAGTCAACTACCCTGTCCATTGCTCTGAACCTGACCTCTGCTCCATCAGGGAAGCTCAGGTACTTGCAGATGGCATTCTGGGTGCTGCCTTTACGAGGCTGTAACACAGATCAAGCAGGAGCCAGCCACCCACTTGGTGCCAAATTTTCCAGGAAAAGACTTGTAAGACTTTATGGGGGGGTATTTTTGCACTAAAGAGTTTCAGCTCTCTGATGCTAGATCTTACGGGACAGTCAGCTTGCAAAAGCAAGAGAGACTGGAAGCACCAATGGATTTATAGCAAATGCAAGTTCTCCCTGCAGGAGTGAACTCTGCTGGACTTTTTATTTTCTTTCTTTTTTTTTTTTTAAATCATAATTTGCAGCACAGGGTTGCTGAACTGACATAGAAGGAAGTTTTTGGAGCCTCAGTCCTAACAAACTCACAAGATCATCAGTGTATCTTCTTCTGTGTTCCAGAATCAGAAACCCAAATGACATCTGGAGAACATTGTGACTGTCAGAACAGGTTTTTATTTTATCCTATTTTATTTCATTTTGTTTTTCAAGGCACGTTGCTAACCACTATCTGACCATATTAAGGCACATGTAAGGCATTTTTCTAGACATGAGGCAGAACAAAGCTTGCAAAGGGGCAGCTGGGTGCCTGCAGAGGGCAACATCCTCCATTGGTGCTGTACTTTCCACTGAAGAGCAGTGCTCCAAAGGGCACTGACAGCTTCCTACTGGAAGAGGAGACTGCCTCTTGGGAGGTACTGTCGAATACTGCCCTTTCAGTAGGGTAACTATGGTGTTCCTTTTTGTCTTTTTACCTCTGAGCAGGGGCATCTTAGTGTAGCTGCCGAGCATTATATTAAATAACCGGCAGAGTAAATAAAGTGGGAAATGTCTCTCAAACTGGAGTTGAGCCATTGGCAGAGGCAGTTAGTCTTCACCTCAGTGATGTTCAGACTCGATGTCTGTTTACCCCACGTTTGCTGTACAGGGCACAGAATTTACCGATCTGCCTTTACTCAAGTCAGTTGCCTTCTTGCAGTAAGGTAGGAATTGCTCCTAGCAGGTAGCTAACTAGGATGATGGTATCTGCTGTAAAATGGTACCAGCTCTGTGGAAGAGCAAGCTTTGAGACTCCTCTGAAGATGGAAACCACTAATAGGCTGCAAAAGCTGTAGGCCAGCTATTACCATTCAAAGGAGTGAGGGAGACAGGGAGGAGGCACCACCATGCAGACAGGAAGAGGTGGTTTTGGAGAAAACTTCACACTTCACCATAAATCTCTGGAAGCAGGATTTTCTTGCTCAGGACCGAGTATGCCCTTTCAAACACATTTGATGGGCTTCACACTGAAACATACCTCTGTGTTATCAAATAACAAGGGCAGGGAAATGTAGTCACAGGTGGTATGGAGGGACACTGTGGCTCATGAGCACCAGGTTTTCCACCCTGTCTTAAAGCCTACCAGGAGACCTGGGTGTGCAAGCATGTGGCATGGTTAGCTTGCAGGGCCCCGAGCACACAACTACTATCTGGGGGGAACTGAACCTTCCCCTTGCTTTGAAGAAAGAAGCAAGAGCCATATAATCCTTATTAAGACTGAGTTGTTCTGCTGTCATCTCTCCTTGCAAGGATGTGCTCAGATTGCTACTTACCCTATCAATTTTATGGGAGCTGCCCTAAAATCTGTGGGCTGGTCCTACTTATTGAAGGCAAGTGTTTTGAAGGCTGGAGGGTGTGGGGAACACTGTGAAAAGAAGTGCTTCTGTATATTGACTTTTCTGTATACAGAATGCATCCCGAACACGCGTGTGGCTGCACTTTGGGTTGAATCTAAATTGTCGTAGTGATACTGTCTGTGCCAGCAGGGGTAACGGGGGAGCGAGCCTATACCTTTTTGTTTGCAGCATCTAATGGAGCAGCCACCTTGACCTGCTTCCTTCCAAGGTTTGGCATAGCCACCCATAACATCCAGAACAACTTCTGACAATGTTTGGGGCTTGCAGCAAGGCACAAATGTGGAGATATGTGCTCTGTGACTTCAAAATATAACTGGAAAGAATGTTACGGAGATAACATTTTGCTCTCTGGAGGCCAGCATAACATGACTGCAGTGTGAGCTGTGTACCTTTGTCCAGCCAGCACTTCCTTTACTTGACATGGATATTGCACTTTTGTAAAGCATCCTGGAACTCTGCTGCCCCGCTGCATGCTGTGCAGAGCGCTGGATAGGAAACACAGACAAATGGGTTTCTTTTGGTTTATTATTATTATTATTACTTCCTTTTTTTTTCTTTTTTTTTTTTGTTCTTCTGGAACCTTGAGCAACAGTGTGGCATTTCTGCAGGCTGGTCTGAATGGATCTGCTAAAGAACAGATAGCCTTTGCCTATTTTTATGGCTGCGACATAATCAGCCTCATCCATATGGTCACATTTTGTCTGAGGAGTGGACTTTCAAAAGCCAAGATCTCCCAGACTCTGTGCCTCCCTCTCGGGTGAACAGCAGGTGCTATCTGGCGAAGACTCATCTGTTCTAGATGGCATTCATGGTTGAGGGAGTCCAACCTCTTCAAGCTGTAGGAGGTAAAGCTGTAGAGACTTCTCTCTCTTCCATTGTGTCTCTCTGTTTTTAATGTGACAGAATGCCAAGGCCATATCACTTGGTGTGTCCCAGCTGACCTTATCGGAACATTACTTATGTTACTGGTTGCTAGCAAAAGGGTCCAAAATTCAGGGGAGATGAGATTGGCCTCTGGACACCTCGCTGACTGCAAAATGGAAGGCAGCTTGTCCGGTTGAAGGTGTCTGCATCGGTGAAGATACTTCATGTTACTTTTTCAGAAGCACAAACGTGGTCATTGGCTTGTCTGGTTGGCTTGGTTTATTTCCACTGCATCATCCCGTGTGAATGACACTTTCTTTTGGAACCAAGAACTCTTCCAAGCACACAAACATCTCCACAATGTGAAATGTAAATAGCATGTTGGACTCGTGTCCAGTGTTCAAGACTGCATTGTAATTGTAAAGGAAATCGAATCAAGACTTGGCTGTGAATTTCTTGTGCTGTCTTGGGAATATAACTGTAGTGTTTGTATCCTGTATGTATTATTAAACTGAGTTCATTTTATGTGCTGATAAAAGGGTTCAAGCTAAGATTTTAGCGTGCATCCATGTATCCAAATGTGAAGGATGGAGTGCTCCCTTCCCCTCCTGTCCTTTTTAAGTTTTCTCCATTTGAGAGGTGTTAATTTTCCGTGTACAGTCATCTCAGCCAAGATGCAAAGATGTTCATTTGAGTGCTTTGAGGGGGACACAGCGCATGGGGTTTTAAGTGACCCTAAGTTAGGATTTCCATAGCAGTTCCCTGAAAATACATTAAAAGTTTGGCCTTTCTGAGAGTTAACCATTTCTCAGGGGCCTGCTTAGCCATCATTCATGAGAGCTTTGGGTGCTGCAGGGTGATAGCAGACAGGAGTGGGTGGATACCCATAAAAGCAAGGTACAGGTACCTGTGTGGATAAACCCATGCTTCACTTCTGGTCCCGCCTTCTCTTCCTCCTAGCAGCAACTGAAATACCATGCTGAGCCCTTTGAAGAAGAGAGAAGTGTCTTGGCTTGTTGATTCTAGCCACCCCACCTGATTCAGGAGTAGATGAGGTGGGTGGGTTTTCCTTTAGCAAGGGAGAGGAGCTGTCTTTGAAGTACTTCTTACCTGGGGACCAAGGAGAAGCCAGGGTCTTCCCCACCTCAACAAGTCTGTTAGTGTAACTCAGTGAATATCTCTGGGTGGGAGGGGAAAAACCCTCTGGGGAGATACCGAGGAGTAGATCTAATGCCTTGAGAGAAGAGACCTGACGAGACTTAATCTGTACCTTTAGCCAGGTGGTTTCTTTCATCACAGCCTACTCCCCTTTTCTAGAAATTATTTGTGTGCATGCTATGAATGGCTTCCCTAGTCATTCCAGGAGGCCCAGCAGAAGCGTGGGATGTTTTGGTAGCAGTTTCTAGATGGCTAGCAAGTGATCTGTGCTTTCAGGGGGGGAGTGGGATCTCTTGCTGAGCTGTGATGGTGAGCGTGTTGCCCAGCTGGGAGAGAGAAGGGATGGGTTACTGGTGGCCTGGAGCTCCCAGGTGCTCACCCAGCCCCTGTGGCTGCATGCATGAACAAAGTGGAACATAAATTGATGTACAACCAGAAAGTTCAAAATATTCCTTTCTTAAAGAGGATAACTGTAGCATGAAGCTCTTAGGTGCTCTGCATATTTGATACCACATTGC